CCTTGGGTTATGTGTGATAAAAGCATTCATTTCCATTTAATCTAGACATACATGTTATATTTTGACAGCAGCCCTGCTGGTTCGTACAGATCTGTCTACAATCTAAAGGTAAGTGCTTACATGGGTTTGTCCTCAGTAATAGTGTGCTTGACTTGAGAAATTATACTGTACTTGATATATCTAAAAAAAAAAACCCAACAACATCACAATCGTTAAGGACAAAGCAATAAACTGCAAACATTAAGCTGTCTGCAATGTCCTTTCAGAAACCTGTGGAGTGCTGTGATACTCCAGGAGAAACAATACTGACAATACAACAGTGTGGGATAAAGATGGTGTGAACAAGCCTCACTGCCATTACAGCCTACACAAATGCACACCCATGTCCAGATCTAAATATACTTTAAGGTGGTAATTGCTGTGCAGTTGAATAATTGGGCAAATTGCTGAACAACTGCTCAGAGGTAGTAAAGAAATAAGATAAATGACTGGTTTTTACAGTGTGTGCTTGGCTGTTCTACAAAAAAACTTGTGGGTGGAAATATACAAGGACGTCTCATCTCAGTAGAGTGTGGCATGTGTACATGTATGTGCAATGTATCCTCATGCACTGTTCTCATGCACTGTTGGTATGTTTTCCTACTAAAAGTAATGCACTGAAATTTGTACATATCCCATGTAATGATGAGCCTGTAATTTGTGGATAACATGTATATTGGAAGGTTGCATGTGACTAATGTCCTGATGGAGTACAGAAGGAAGCAGTCCCGAGTGGTCCATTTAGTAGGCAGGCTGGGGTGGTGGGATGGGTCACTAAACACATAACAATAAGGAGATAGGTGTTTGGATAGGTGTTTGGAGCCGTGTGAAATTTGAGTCATTTTAAGGTATGTCCTCACCGTGTTTCTTTCCCTAAAACTGACCTCCGTAACTTTACATTAATTACGTAACTTTACATTAGAGACGTAACGTCCTTTATTGGGCGCAAATTCATACTATATCATACATAGGGTGACCATATTTTGATTTCCAAAAAAGAGGACACTCGGCCCGGCCACGACATAGCCTACTTAAATGATACTAGCAGTTTACTCAAAGATGCCTTATAATTTTAATATATTTAAAGTTTATATGTATGGATAGAAAATTCAGTTATATTACAAATAATATCTCTCAAAGACAGAAATTCAGATAGGCCCCTATAGATAGGGGACACATACACACACACTAGTGTGTGGCTACCCAATCCGAGCCCGACGGGTCCCGACGGCAGGCCTACCCGACGGGTTGGGCCGGGTTTGGTCAAAAATGTATAAATTGTATTCGGGCTCGGGTCGGATTCGGTCAGCTTTCAGTGAAAATGTAGTGTAAAAATAAATAAAATCCTATTGTCTGTCCTGTTTATTGCTTGGGCACTGTTATTTACGTGACAACACTTGAACAGAACACACACACACATAGGCTGTTTGTTTCTACCTCTCCCCTCTCTGGAAGCCTCGGACCTCCAGCCGTCCGCCTCCTCCTTGATTAAACGCTCGAGACAGGTTTTTCCTATTTTATCTTATTTTGTTATATTTCTCCCTCTCCCCTCGCTGGAAGCCTCGGACCTCCTGCCGCCCGCTCCCGTCTCAAACACAACTGTGTGACACAAACTCAGTGCTTTAGTCATTAAATAATGTCAGGTTCGGTTCGGTTTCGGACATAACAAAACAGAATGACTGTTCGGACATTATCATCAATTTATAAACATCCCCCGGACGCCCCGGACAGGACGTCAAAAGTGGACATGTCCGGGCAAAAGAGGACGTTTGGTCAGCCTACATACAAACTGCTGTATGTGCATTTTTGTAGGATATCCAACATATTCTCACCCCAACTCATCCAGTGTTGCCGCTTTGTCTGTGGACTTTATGTAAAACCCATCCATCTTACCGGCACGGAGGATGCCTTTGTGCATCTGTATCTAATGCCCAGATCACTAACAAAGTGGCAGTATTTGATGAGCTTGGAATGAGAATAGGCTAGGATATCATATGAACCATTGTATGAGGAAACATCACCTCATACAACAACCTGTATGATATCTTATGAATTAGCATTCTCATGAATGGCATTATATACTTAACGTGAAGTAACTTAAGTTACGTAGGTTACCTTAAAGTGACTTAAATTTCCTGCAAACACCAGTCTCCCCGGCAATGTCCTGGGCGAAAGTCCTGTATTTTGTGACCCATCCACCACCCCAAACTACCTCTTTACGGGGATCACTACCCAAATACATGATACACTAGCCGTCCCAAATATGTGGGTTACACACAAATTACTGGCTCATGATTACCAAGAATATGTGGAAACGTTGCTGCATTACCTTTTGTAGGAAAATGTATCAACTGTGCATGAGAACTGCCTGGTGTGTTTGAAAGGAGGAGATGGAGTGAGGTGTGTGTTTTTGTTAAGTAATATTTCTAGGCTAATTATTAAGCGAGGTGTGCAGTACATTCCGATCCTTTTCAAACTTTCAACTGAATTCAAAAAGATGTGGCTGTGATTGTTTGTGCATATTGACAGCAAACCGCTTCATGCAAACCCCACTGATGGATCCCAACATAGACCTCCATGGGAGGTGATCTGACTTCAGTTCATCGTAAATGTGGTTAATCTTGTGGCAAAATGACGTGAGATCAGCAGTGCCATCCTTCAAGCCAGGGCGGAATAATTACCATGTCATTTCCAAACATCACTGTGCTGGAGATAATAATAGTCTGCAGTGTCTCTCTCTCTCTTTGTCTTGTGCGTGAAAACAAACCATGATTAGCCTGTCAGATTCAGCTGATGATTACCCTGATCAATTTCAATAATGGCCCTATCTGTTTCATGCCGCTTTGATTTGGATATTGGCTTTTTTTTTCACATCAAGAAGCACAAACCTTGTTATACCCAAAAGCCACAATGGGGCTGAGTTCAAAAGAAAAAAACTGAGGTGCACATAAATGAGGGACTGCAACCTCACCAGAGCAGTGGCAAGCCAGGGAAAAGGGGAGGAAAGGCTGAATGTGAACACAGCAGAGATCATTGGCTCTGTCTCACTCATCTCTGTGTCTGCTCAGTATCCACTGAGCTTGCATTAATTTAAAATAACCATATGTGAAAACACACTCAATCAGAGCCGTGGGATCATAAGAAGCGCTTCATTGCCCCACCACTAAACAGACACACACACACACACACACACATTAATTTGTTGTAATTCACTGTTCCTGTTTGATGTTGTGTTAATGGAATTCTACAAGTCATTTAGTACAGCTCTCATTGAAACCAACAGTCAGTAGATAGTTGTGTTTGTAGGTCCGCAAACACAAACTGCTATTCGTTTTGCAAGAGAGGCTTGATGTTTAAAAAATTCCCCTCCACATTACAAAACCAGTAGACTAACACCAATTCTTGCTTTTTTTGTTGTCAGTATTTTCCACTGCAGGGGGAGGGGGGGGGACCTGAGTGTGGTCTGGCAGTTGGTGTGAGTTGTTTGCCAACACAAGAAATGTGAAAAAGATAAATGACTGGCTTTAATTCTTGCTGACGTGTTGTGACAGGTTTCTGATTGTTGCATAAAATCGTCACGCTCACAACAAAATAAGGTAACGCAGGTCTGTCCTCTTTTCGCTACCTCTCAAGATGCCAGTGATACTCTGTCTGTGCTGAACCTCTACCATAATATATCACAGAGATATGATTTTCTAGTTTTCTCACATATCCTGTCTTTTCTGACAATGTAAGCTATCTATCAAATTCAGTGTTTCCCACAGAATCGCCTTTGTCCCTTTGTATTATTTTGTGTCCCATGTTCTAAATTCAGAGGTTTTTGTGGGTCTGTGAAGACAATGCAGGCAGAGTTCTCCATGAATTCTTTTTGTCCTCTGCAGCAGTTTGTGACTCATAGGGAGGACAAACAATCTGTCAGTCTTTTCAGAGCTGATCAGATCAGATTGATGGATAAGAGGAGCAGCTACTGTGAGTGAATGCAAACTTTTAGACTAAGCAGAATGGAACAGTTAAGTTTCACTGTCTAACATTCTATTACGCAGTCTCTGGCCCGGGTGCACTCACTTATAACACCATGGTGTTGTATTTTGTATGTTTTCATTGTGGCGGGCTACAAATAAATGTATGTTTGGGAAACCCTGAACTGATAAGAGAAGTTTTACTCAGACCTCTGATCAATCTCAGTTATTGCAATTGGCTTGCATATTGTAAAGTAAGCCTGCAATTCTTTTCTTTTCAATAAGAGCTGGAAATGTGATGTTCAGATGTGCATTCCACAGTCATAAACCACATACTGTACATTTTGGTTTAAAGGTATCTATCATTTTAGATTTCCAAATGTTATGTGATGTTAAACTCATATTAAAACACAACATATTTGTCCTCCTGTTTGCGAAAAGACAATACTATGGAAAGGTGTTTGTGTTTGTTGGATGTTGAGACTAGGGAACAGAAACCCTATGAATTATGGTGCTGTACGAACTGCTAAAGTCTTTGGGTTATTGTTGTCTAAATACATGCAAAAAGTGTTCTATTAACATGATCTTACTGAGTGGTCTCTAACCCTCCAGTGCTGGTTTGCAACATGAACAGGAACATTTTTTCAAATAACTGTGCCGTGTAGAAATGGCATGATGTTCAAACAAGTAGCAACAGCATTAATAAATTTGCATTATTTAAGTCAGACATCGACTCCACACAAGTGGAGTAAACTCTTCCTCCATTTTTAACTACATAATTATAACATAATTATTCTTGACACCATTTCTGTGTACAATTGTACTGGTAAAGGAAAAAAAAGACAACAAAGACATAAAACTAAGATATTTGTCCTAAATAATTACAACTTCATATTTTCCCTTCTCGAAAATAGTCAAAATTTAAATTGAAAAAAAAAAAGAAAAAAGAAAAAGAAAGAAAGATTAGCATAACACAACAGCAAGTATATCACTACAGTGCTGAGAACAAAAATACTTGAAGGTCAAAAACAATTGTGTTTCAACAACCAGACTGAATGATAATTATTATAGATTAAAATGTGATAATACCAGGCTTTCTGCCTTAGGGTAACCTAAATTCCTTCTGCTTCAGTGTCTCAGTTTGACTTTGAGGTATTTAACATTCACCTCCCATACTTGCTGTAAATTTGCCTTTTCCTGGAGTTGAGATGAATATGCAATGCAGTTAAAAAAAAAAAAAATCCATTTGAATAACCACACCACAATTAAAAAATCTTATTTTTTCCTCCGAGACATATATGTAAAAAGAGATAATCCAGAATAATATAATTTAGAGAGAAAATTTCCAACATAATACAACTAAAATGTGAAACATTTGTTACATCCTTGAAAATCTAAAAAAAAACAGAAACAGAAACAAACTTTTGTTATGTACTTATTTAGTGGGTCAACATCATTACGTAGCAGGATACTTCATGCACTCACTGTGCATCAGTTTATGGTTCCAGTTGAAAAAAGAAAAACACACACCACCACTCTCTCTCTCTCTCTCTCTCTCTCTCTCTCTCTCTCTCGCACACACCCACACACACACCCACACACACACACACACACACACACACACAATACTTGTGTTCACATCCATTCCTCTTCAAAATCTGAGCAGGAACGGCAGGATCACCATGAAGAGCAGACAGGTGTGTGAGTGCACTCCCATTGCGCCGCCGCTGCCATCTTGAACTGCTCTCGGTCCTGATGGGGAAAGGGAAGGAAAAAAAAAACAAACAAAACACTTTCAGTTTTTACCTTTTAAGGTGAGTTATTAGATGCCTATCCGCCGATTACAGTTCAGTGGCTTAATATGCTTATAACGTAACCCTCAACTTAATTACTGTAACTTAAAGTGCAAACCTGTAGCTATTGTGTGTGTGTGTGTGTGTGTGTGTGTGTAAAAAGACAGTGTGACTACTTCATTCTATATTTTGTACATGCTGTACATGCAAACCAGTGCAGGCCTTTGGTATGTGCAGACAGTGATTATCGTTCATTTTTTAGAATTACTGGGGATAAGGAGGTATGGATGACAAGCTTTTCTTAGTCACATGGCATTGACATGGAGTTCATATAACAATATAATAACAGCTTGCTTCTTCTTCTTCTGCTCTGCTGGTGTGATGCCAAAGTGTCCGCTATCACAGAATTTATTACACTTTATTAACTCTGACCCTTGAAAGCTGTTACTTTTTGTCTGTGTGTTTTTTTTTTTTAAATAAATATAAATAGGAAGCACTTTAATTAACATATCTACCAAGTTGCAAAATGCTCACACTGAATATATCTGCAAACAATGTTGTTTACAGCTAACTGCTGGAATTTGATAATGTAAATGAATATCAAAAATGGTGAATATGGTTACTGACAATATATTTTGTTTGTTCTCCTATGACATCTGTATATGCTCATTGCAACTACATAATTTTTTTATGGTTTAAACACTCACTGCAGGCTCAACTGCTAAGGTTAGTGGAACATGACAGAGACTTGAACCACAAGACAGGCTGTGCTAACTGTATTAACATCTAACCAAAACCATGATCTTAAGGCAAATAAGCAAGTTGCCTAAATTTAACTGCATGTGGGACTCAAGATGCCAACCACAGTCTCTGGTGTCAAAGTCCTGAACTTTACAGGCCCACCATCCAGCCCTGACCTTGACCAAAATGTGAGAAACATATAATAGAAACAAATAATTCAGGGAGCTATTATGTTTTCATGTTGGATAATAATAAGACAGTTTTAAGTTAAACTAATGTCAATGCCAAATAGACACTAATTCCGTGGTTTGAAGTACCTCAAGCTTCTATCCAAGGTCCTCCTTTGTTTTCACTGTGTCCCTTGAATATATTGTTAACATCATACTTAGCTTATAAGTCAATATCCAGAATATGCAGCTAAATCTCTTTGTATCTGACAGCTAAAATAGTTTATTTTAGATACAGCAATTGTGAGTGAATCAATCTTCACTTTGTTCTTGCCAAAGTAATGGCATTTCTGAAACAGTCTGTCCATAATTGACAAGCATCATGTTGTGAATACCTGTTTTCTCAAACAGACGTGACTTAATGTGAATGTGTGATTATTTAGATAATAATGGTGGATGGAGGCAGGAAACTAGAGGTGGGAATCAGTCTTTGTTGGGAACTATAAATGAACAGCACATAGAATGGTAATGATACATACATTAAAAGCTTCCATTTATGAGGCAGGAGGTGAACGGGTGCAGCAGAGAGCACCTGTTTTTAAGCGTGATGATCAAAATGACATGGTCTGCAGCATCAAATGCAGCACTGAGGATTAACACTGAACTTTGCTCTGCATCTTTTGCTTAAAGGTCGTTCTATCTTTAACAGTGGCATTCTCTGTACTGAGAACCTCTTTTTTTAAGGGGCTGGGGGTATAGGTGACAGAGGAATCATGTATAATATAACAAATATGAGTAAATGGAAGTTCCTATCTATTTTAACATATAACACAGGTCTTTGTCACATGTTATATATTATGATGTCCCTTTTTTTTTTTTTTTTTTACTTCAGGTAGCTTTCTCTTTTTTTCACCATACATGTGTTTTCATTCCTGTTTGTTAAAATGATGCTTTGACATCCAGGTTTGCTTTGGTCAGTTGTTGGGGTGAAAATATTAATTATAGTATATAGTGGGAAAATAAGTGGAGCATACAGAGTGTGAAAGCATACTTGTAAGTACTTAGCATGTCAAGTTCTTGAGTTTAATTTCTCTACAACCCCAATTCCAAAAAAGTTGCGATACTGAATAAAACATAAATAAAAACAGGATGCAATGATTTGCAAATCTTTTTGACGTATATTCAATTGAATGCAGTACAAAGATAGGATATTTCATGATGATTTCAACTGATAAACTTTATTGTTCTTTTGTAAAACATACACTTATTCTAAATATGATGGCTGCAACCAGGTCAAAAACGTTGGTACGGGGGCAACAGAAGACAAGGAGAGTTATGGAATGCTAAAAAAATACTTGTTTGTAACATTCCATAGGTAAACAAGTTATTTGGTAATAAATATTACTATATATCAGAGGTAGAGCGGGTCATCCACCAATCAAAAGATAAGCGGTTCGATCCCCAGGCTGCATGTTGAACCCCAAATTGCTCCCGATGGCTGTTCCATCTGTGTGTGAGTGTGTTAAAAACTGAGTAGCAGGTGGCACCTTGTATGGTAGCCTCGGCCACCAGTGTATGAATGTGTGTGTGAATGGGTGAACGTGACTCGTAGTGTAAAAAGTGCTTTGAGTGGTCACTAGATGACTAGAAAGGCGCTATACAAATGCAGGTCCATTATGCATGTGTTCCAACAGCATGGCCTCGTAGGAAAAGAGTGCAGGTACTAGACTGGCCTGCCTTCAGTCCAGATCTGTCTCCCATTGACCATGTGTGGCACAATATGAAACTCAAAAAAACAGCGATAGAGACCCCAGAGTGTTAGGCATCTGAAGTCATATATCATGCAAGAATGGGAAAAAAAAAGTTTACTTCCAAAATTTCAACAATTAGTGTTTTCAGTTCCCAAACACTTACTGAATGTTATTAAAAGAAAAGGTGATATCACACAGCCGTAAATGTGCCCCTGTCCCAACTTCTTTAGAATGTGGTGCAGGCATCAAATTCAGTATGTATGTTATGTTAAAAAAAGTAAAATAAGATAAAAAAGTAAAGTTGCATTCTGTTTTATTTATGTTTTACACAGCATCCAAACTTTTTTTTTTTTTTAAATTGGGGTTGTAATGAAACTGTTTTTTATGATTCTTATTTATCGAGCTACAACCTTGGTAAATCAGAAAACAAAGTGGATACACGTTATTTCATTTACCTTAGATTTAATGACGATGCAAGCCAGAGTCTCAGTAAGTTAGTAAAATTTCATCTTTATTCTTTACTATTATACTAATACACCTGAAGTATGCTGGTATGACAGTAATTGCACAACCAAAATACAATAGAATTTTATGATGCAAAAACTAAAACACATCATAATTTCATCATGCTCTTTTCAGGGATGAGGCAAGTTCCATCTAAATGAATGCATTGTCTGAGGATTGAGGACAAATTTGAACTTTTTACTTTGAAGCTTGTAACACAATGACTACTCATTTCCCTTGGATTTCCATGAGTTCACCACAGTTTCCTTTGGGGCATCTATCCAATTACCCTGCCACAGTGGATTATCCCTAATCCTGCATATGGCTAATTAGAATAATGACGTTCACTCGTAGTCAAAATCAAAGCCATTAATACAATTATGTTGTGTTAATGGAGTGGGTTTGCTTACAAGATGCTGCAACCACCAGTCACAAGGACACATTAAATGACAAGATGGGTGATGTGTTTATCTCTGCACTATCACCACCGCTCCAAATGCTTGTTCTAAAAACACACAGGGCTCATCTACATCACATCTACATCACTATTTACAGATACTAGAAACATTTTAGCTTGCAGCAAGACTCTGTTGCTTTCTGTGTTTGCTTTCACGATTTTCTGTGTAGGAGTTGAAATACAAAAGCTAGATGTACAAGCACAAGCGCAAACGATGATAATGAAAGGTGACGAATACTTACATTGGGAAAAAAAGAGCATGCATAAATCAAAATGAAGCCATGTCACACAGTGTGGCGGTTGGGTTTGCAAAGGAGAAAGATGAAACATGGTTAGCGAAACAGGCTGCAGTGACCATTTTCACAAAGATTCACATGACATCTGTATGGCTGTTTGCTTTGCCATTCCTTTGATTCAAAGATGATGTCTGCCATACAGCTTTAACGTGTCAATTTATAAAGAGAACAAAGAGTTATCAAGAACAGCACAATTTTGACAGGATCAAAGAGCCCAGAAATGATTTGTCTCTTCTTGTCAAACACTGTGAATAACTCCACTGACAGTGCAGCCTAACTTCCAGTTTGTGAAAATGGCTGTTTGTCATGTGCCAGCATGCAGTTAGTACTTTCAATTCACGACAGTTGAAGTGCATGCTGGTGCAGAATACTAACCTTGCAATAGCGTTGAGCTAGTGGGTTCAATTACCACTACACAAGGGGAACAAATGGAACAGAGCAACATATTGGAAACAGAACAGCAACAAATCATTGACAACACTTGTGAAAAGCATGAAAAGTAAAGGCTGCTAAATAGACTTTTACATCATGGCTGCACAGTTACATACTTGAGTATTCAAAGTGATTCAGTTCAGGTGGTGTCAAAATTCAATTTCAGAGCTGAAACACTTGAGTATTTTAATTCTGACAACAACTCTGTGTTGATAAAATAATAATCTGCAAGACTTATTTTTAGTGACATGTTTGTTGACATGTGCTTATTTCTTTGCTTTGAAGCAAGCCCTCAGGAACAACATTGGACTATGAGGTAGTGTAGTGGACACAGTACGAATTGCAGGTCAGGGGAAACCCACTGCTGAATGGGTTGATCAGTCTGTTAAGATGATGGCTTTTTGTCATTCCAAGAGGGATGTCTTTTACATCAGTGTTCCTCACAGCCTTATTTATTACAGAAAGCAACACACTATTTGCAGGATATTGAACACCTGGAATGTAAGAGAGAGCAGAGAGTGATTTCCATTTCCTTACTCATCATCGAGGGTTTTAAAACTTATTTTGCCTTTGAAGCCTTAAAGGTATACTATGCAAGATTTTCCTAAAAATTAGAATCGCCGCTTTGCAATCATATACCTCTGCAAACCAGTCAACTTCTTGTTACAGTTTGCATCCTTGTCTGTCCAGATTCATATGTAGCCATGACAGTTGACAATGCTTTAAATATGGATGTTGCTGCAACAAAGCTAAATACTCTAAAAGTGGCTACTTCATACACATCTTCAAACCAGCAGCACAGGAGATCTATACCGTCACCACAGTTTCAAGATGGGCACCGAAGATTAGTGTCACCAATTCAGAATTTGTTTCTCCTTCTGCTCCTGAGTTATGGCACTGAATAATGGCCAGAAAAGCATTTTTGCAGAAAATTATGATGTAACAGTGAAGTAGACCTTTTGACATAAAAATTCATCATTTCACCATTTTATCCTACTAAAAATTGGGGTGAAATTTTGTCAGAATTTGTTCGTGAATTCTTGAGTTGTGGCCAAAAACACGTTTCCTTCTTGAGATACTTTGTTCACAGGAATGAGAAGGATGCAAGGTCACAGTGACTTTGACCTTTGACTGCCAGTATCTAATCAGTTCATTCTTGAGAAGTAGACATTTGAGCCAAATTTGAAGAAATTACCTCAAGTTGCACTTGAGATATTGCGTAAGCGAGAATAACATGGAAGCAAAGTCACAGCCAGACAGCATCAAAGTTCCAAGATTCCTGAATGGAACCAGTTCAAGAACCAGAGCTAATTTGGTGGAAAAGGGAAATCAGTCTCAGGGACCAAGTTTGTTATGTTGTGTTTAAAGACAGTAACAGACAAATCATGCATAGTAAGCCTTTAATTAATGCGTGTCATGAATGTTCCTCGCAAGGCAAATGCCTAATAATTTTTCTGATGAATCTCATGATTTAATAATGATTATAATTTTGCTACTTTCTGATAAAGTCTGACAGTGCCCAACCACGGAATGAAAACAATTTTCTAAGTAAGTGATACATTTATTACAGTCAGACTCTTCATTAGGTGAATACCGCACAAATTACTTGGTACAGCACTCGGTTAACTATTGCCATGTTGTTGTCATGCATTACAGGTGCTACTTTAAGACTGATGTTGTCACTTTTATGCAAAAGTGACTTGGTTGCTAATTCAAACATGAGACCCCATCTTTAATGACAGTTATAAACTGACTGTGCTAAATAATTCTTATCACTGACTTCACTTAGTAGAGGAAATCCTCACTTGTAAGTGACCTTGTCAGCACAGCTGGGATACATGGTTACTTCCTTATTCAAAAGCCTATTAATGTCTTTTCCCCATACAAAAGCACTACAAAAAAAAAATCATTTTTTTCTGAGCATCAAAAATCACTCTTTTCTATTAGCAGAATTTGAGCCATTAAGTCCAATAAAAATGAAAAAGTGTCACTTCAGTATCAATAAGTTATTTTTAGGCCTCTCACCAATTTTAGAAGTGAGGAGGACATTGTCAGACAGCTGGACCAAGAACTGTAGTGCTCATGCTCTACAAGCCCCCAAAACACAAAGCCCTGACAACTTTTAGGTGTGTCAGAGTTATGAGGGTGCTGCAGGAATGAGTCCTAAAACCCAAAAATGAGTTAGCATTTCAGCACTCCCAGTTCCCTCATAGTGAAGTCAATGGGTTTTTTAAATGGGTTTTCAGTTAGATGCCTGAAATAAGGTCTGTGATTAACACAACCTAAGGAGACTTTCAAGTTTTGTTCTAAAAAATGAACTACATCACCACACTCATACATTCTTTAGTGTTTTAAAAAAGGTGGTTGCTAACGAGTTGCTAAATGAAACCACAGAATATCATCACGCTGAACACAGCTATACAGCCCCGATATGGTGGCGATGTTTAAATCATGTGACCATGGTGTAGTGCGTTTATAGCCAAACATTAGCTTTGTACTTATGGTGATTGCATTTAGGCTTAAAAAAACAATCATAAAGGTGATGTTCATCTGTGAAGATAATCTTGCTGAATAAAACATGTGAATATGATAAAGTTTTGTTTGTCACAGAGCTTATTTTTTTCAGTCATCCAAAATCCAATTGAAAAATTCCATTGGCATTTGTCAATGTTAACATCCAGGTTGGCCTACAAATAAATGTAATCCCTTGGTGCAGCACTCCATACGGCCCCATCTAGGAACACAGTATCCAGTAATCTGAATTCATTAATGGTTTGAACCCAGTGAACTGTAGGCACAGATCTATGTAGGTGTAATAATAAAATCACAAAAATGCAGACTTTGTTTTTATCTTTTCCCTACACAGTATGTGGTTGCCTTCATGTGAATGCATCATTTTCTGCACTATACATGATTTTGAGTCATAAATATGTCAAAAAATAGTAAATGTAAAAGCTTTTAGGAAATGGATAAAGGCTGAATCACTGATGATAAGAGGCTGAGTGGGGAGTTACATTCATGCAGAAAAAAGTTGCAGATTATTACGCTTAATTTTTTTTACTTTTATTGAAACATACACCTAGCAGATACACTACAACATTTCACTTACATCTCCCTCTCTGTGGCACTACACATGTACTGGAATCATGTACTCACCATACAGAAGGAAGCTTGTGTTTGAGCTCCCAAGTTTGTTGATGGCGACACAAGTGTAGTTGCCGTAATCTCCATCAGACACATTAAAAAACGTCAGCTTCGACAGTGATCCAGTATTCACAATTTCCATGCCATCAAAGCCATTGAAGATCCTAGATGATGGGAGAAAGAAAATGTCCGTGGACAAACAATGAATGCAGCTAACCATGTTAATTGTGTTTTCTCTTCAAAGTCATTTGCCATATTACCTATGGGCCTGAGAGCAGTAATAATAATTTAATCAAGAATTCGGACCAGTTTTCAGTAATCTTAATGCTCATATGACTGACAGCTGATCAATAACCACCAATAGCAGTGAAAATTAATATCAGTAAGCATGCGCACACACACACGCTTCTTCTATTTGCCTGTGTAAAATGCAAATGTAAAACAAATTACCTTCTGTCATCTTTATACCACTCAAAATCTGCCTCAGGCACTGCATCCGCCTCACACTCCAGCACTCCTCTTTGGCCCAGAGTCACTCCGACATCTCTGCCCTCTGACACAGTTGGAGCATCTATATGCAGGCAGCAACACATAAGAGCACTGTGATCAGGACTACAAGGCAGCACAAGTCAAGGATATGAGGAGACGGGTCACAGCATTCTCTCCTCTCAGCCATGATGGTCTGCACCATGACTGCAAGTGAATAGGAATAAGGAGTTCAAGAAATAATATTTCTTACACTGGTAAAAGTGCCAGGATATGATGAGAAGGAATTAACTGCTCATGTTTTAATTTGATACAATCCATTCTGTTTCTCCTGCAGCAAAGAAAACATTATTTAATCGATTTTGCTGTAGATGTTTGAGCAAAATGCAGCCATTGGTGTTCACATGCTACCAAATTCTTACATTTTGGAAGCTGGATTTTGAGCCATAAAAATGTTGACTATGCAGCCCTGGTTTTACTGTTGATCAATCTACTGATTATTTTTGATTAGTTGACTAATGGCTTGGACTATCAAATGCCAGAAAATAGTCACAAAATAATGGGATCTCCTAAAGCCCACTGTGTCGACAAAATGTCTCTTTTTATCCAACCAACAGTTAGAAACGCCTTAGATTTTCACTTTCTATCAAATAAGCCAAAGAACAATAGTTCATTATTATAATTGAGAAGTTGTTATGAGGTAATGTTCATTATTTTTGTTCTAAAATATTAGTTAAAAGATAAAACCATTATCTTAGATTTTATTTTGATCACACATTTAAAATGGGCAGCTATTTCACATAAAAGAGGCTCAAACTAATTATTTCTCCTTGACTCCAGGAAGTGCATTTGATTTAGCAAGATCGGGACTTGATGTAGCAATTGTTCCACTGGGAAAACAAATGGAAAAAACAGATAATGCAAAATTAGATCAAGATTAAGAAAAAAAAAAGAAAAATGAAAGATAAAAAGGTCCTCTCACGGTTCACTGCGGAAGACAATGGTTCGACTCAGGGACAATAAATAAAATGGAGTCAATGAAATGACATAGTTACAATATTTACATTCTATAAACTAAATCTGCAGAGTTCAACATTTAAATTATAAACATTTAAATGTCTCACACTACTAGCTTTGTTTATTAGTAGGGCTACAACCATTAACTCTATTTTGGATTAATAAATATGCTTCACCAATATAACACCCCCCACCCACACCCCACATATACACTGACTATATATGTTACATTAAAACACATCTATTACTATTATCTCTGCACATATTTGCTTTACTGTGAACTTTTACACATCCCCTGCCCAATATTTTTGCACATTCTGCACAAAACTGTACAGCTTTATTCTGAAACAGCTGTATTGTACACATTTGTTATGTTATGTTATGTTATGTTATGTTATGTTATGTTATAATACCTTTTGAAAGTATATGTGTCTTTCTTTTTTTTTGTTACTTTTAGTCGGACTGTTATCTCTGCACATATTTGCTCTACTGTAAACCTTTGCACATCCCATGCCTAAGATCTTTGCGCGCCCTGCACAAAAACTGTACAAGTTTCTTATTCTGAAAGTTATATTTTACAAATTATGTTACAATAGACTTTGAAAGTAATTTTATCATATATTTTTTTTGTAACTTTTCAACTCTATTATCTCTGCACATATTTGCACATCCCCTGCTTAATATCTTTGCACCGCCTGCACAAATATTTACCACTTTATTCTGAAACAGCTATATTGTACATATTTGTTATGTTATAATATGTTTTGAAAATACTTTTGAATTTTTTTTTTGTCATAACTTTTGTACTGTGAGTGTGAATGGTTGTCTGTCTCTATGTGTCAGCCCTGCGATAGTCTGGCGACCTGTCCAGGGTGTACCCTGCCTCTCGCCCGATGTCAGCTGGGATAGGCTCCAGCCCCCCCGCGACCCTCAAGAGGATGAAGCGGTTAGAAGATGAATGAATGAATGAATGAACTTTTGTACTGTGACTGTTATCGCTGCACATATTTACTTTACCGTGAACTATTACACATCCCCTGCCTAATATCTTTGCACATCCTGCACAAATCTGTACAGCTTTCTTATTCTGAAATAGCTATATTTTATTTTATTTTTTTTTTGTGACCAACAGTCTGACTATGCATTGGCATTCAGTTGACCATGGTATAACACACAAGAGATTAGAGACAGGAAGGCAGAAAGGCTTATATTTCAGAAGCTGGACAATATTCAACACTTTTTCATGATAAATAATTGAAATGATTATATGAATATGAAAAGAGCGGATGTCATTTATTTTTTTCTGCCAGGAGACTAACTGGTAAACTAATCTTTATTCAAATAGAAAATGTTAAAATCCTTCAGCCAAAGCTCTGGACTCACAGTTAACGGTGATGTCTACAGTCTGGACATCTGTGTCAATATCGTTGACAGCTGTGCATTCGTACGTCCCTGCTCTCTGTCTGGAGATAGATGGGATTTCCAGGTACTCATCGTCTGATGCCAGGTCCCCTATGAAAGGTCACACACACAAAGTGGAAAAAAGTGGAGACAGAGATTCAGTTAATATGACAAGTCAGCAGCTGTGGCCTCAATTGTTGTTTTCACATTCTGTTTGTCTGTGTGGCCTCTGGAAAGTAATTGTCACACTGGTGCACAGAGAGAAAAGAAGGAAGTGTTGATACTGTCATCTATTTTATTTTATCATATTTAGATTTATTGATAACGTGATGTAGCACAGTGCATTAAGAATTATTCTGGTGTCTGAATAAATGAGAATATTTTGATATTAACAACACAGAGAAAGAAGTTCAGTTCTAATTGCCAGCAAGGAAATCAAAGATCTAAGTTCAGAAGCAGCAGCAGCAGGAGCGAAGACAGGTCCTGTTAATTCCTGTACCTACCTGATCTGGTATGACAAGTTAAATTCACAAGGATCCACGTGTGTCAAAACTTACACCAGTAAATATCATGACATGTGCCCAATTCTGTCTCTCATGCTCCTCTCTTGTTCCTTTCAACACCAGTTCTTGAGCTTACTGACATTTTTCTGAGGATGTTACAACACTTGGTGATTAGCGCTTTGTTCAGCTCCCACTCATTATCATTTGTCTGTCAGAACTTTCATATTCTGCTCCTTTTTGTGAGTCTCTTGAGCCTGCAAGCACACCAGGACTACTATAGAGATATGACAATGTGAATGGGGGAAAATGCCAGCCCTGCTACTCCTTCCTGTATCAATTTGACACGCTTGACAGAGACACTTAATACAGCACTCAACGTAAAAAACAAAAGACGTAATTGACTTCAAGCCTCCTCCCTAGATGTTGGTAGGTGACAGTAATAAATTGCACATGGATTCACTCTGCTGGGTTTAGGCACATTACTGAATAGCACCTGGGAAGGTTGTTATGGAGAAAAGTTCTCACTGGCACACTGATCACCTGACGAGAAGTATCAGCAGGACTCATACAGGTGTGCAGGTTCCACTCTGTTCCTTTTCTGCTTGACTTTCTCCCAAAAGAGGATGCTACATTTCGTCAATAGAGACCGCAGTGTCAGTTAAAGCCACACTGTAATTCTCTGAGGAAAGTTAATCAAGACAAGGCTGCCAGCTGACGCACATTCTCAAAGTCCTCACATCAAGTGTCAGTTTTACGCCATGTGGCTTCGCATTAGTAGCATAAGCAGCTGTCCTCCAGAATGACAGACGAAATCAATGCTTCTCCATAGTTAATGGCCTCAAAAATAAATTCATAAAAACAACTGACAGTAACAGCTGTAACAACGCAATAATATTTCTCTCAAAAGTAATGATGTGTCTGATATCAGCTTGTGTTTGCATTGCTTTAAAATAATAATAATAATAATAATAATAATAATAAATTTCATTTGTATAGAGCTTTAAAAGATACATCCATGTCCATCACACACATCAATTCAATACCTGACCACAGTCTCCTCTTCTGTTTCTGAGATATGACATTGAGTTATGGCCAGAAAAGTGTTTCATGTAGAGCACTATGATGTCACAGTGAAGTTGACCTTTCACCTTTTGGATATAAAATGTCATCATTTCATCATTTCATTCTATTAGACATTTGTGAGACATTTGTTCATATTTAGTGCATGAATTCTTGAGTTACAGCCAAAAACATGTTTTGTGAGGTCACAGTGACCTTGACCTCTGACTACCAAATTCTAATCAGGTCATTATTGAGATAAAGTGGATGTTTGTGTCAAATTTAAAGCAACTTCCTCAAGGCCTTCTTGAAATATCGCAGTCCCGGGAATGAGCCTGAAACAAGATCCCACTGACCTTGACCTTTGAGTACCAAAATCCTAACACTTACTTGTTAGGTCCAAGTGTATGTTGGTCTGAAAATTTATCTGCAGCAGGCAGCCATCTTGCCTACGGCATGCACCTACAGAGTCATGCGCGCACACTTACTGTGCAGTACACTTCAGTGAAAATACATTCCCGCGCACATGGCACAGTGATTTAGTGTTAGTTAGCTCACATTATTGCTCAAGATTCATCAGTAACAGTCAGCCTGTCTTAAATGCTTTTTTAAGGAATAGGCCAATTTATCTTTGCTAATAATATGTTGTATTTGTGTGTATTTCAAGGAATATTTACATTTTTGAAAAAATATAACAAAAAATAAACTTGTATTAAAACTTAAATTGTCAAACAATAATTTGGCAGCCTCCCTGCAGTAACCCTGAGGACCCAGCCAATCCCATCACTTACATTTTTTCCTGAGGCCATTTGACAGTAAATCACAACATCTCTGTCAAACATACGCCCTATCACCAACATATCGTTGTCTTTCAGTACACACAGTGCTCCTCCTCTTCCACCAGCTTCCACCAGCTTCCACAACTTTGATTTGCAAAGCATCAGAGTTTACAGCCCTTCAAAAATAATCATCTTCTTTACACAAACTCACCTGCACCATCACTCAATTAAATTTAAAGTATATAAGCCACTGCTGGCTCTTTCCCCCAAAAAATGATTCTGCATTATAAGGAAAGCAATAAAATAATAAATCATTGTTATCCTGGTGGTCTGTCCTCTCATAGAAGCACTTCTGAGCTTCTTCATGTGCTGTTGCTTTCAGTTTGACCGCCAGTCACCCAACTGTGCAAGTGAAGCCATTGAAAACAACCCGCACCATGTGCCAAAGAATGATGTTCCTCTTTATGTGTACTAGAGAGAGAGAACAAATGTTGTCTCAGCAGAAACAAAGAGTTCACAGGACACTTCAGTACCCACTACACAGCACTACCCAAGCTCTGAAAAAGTCCCTCATTACAGCATTCTTCCATTTTAATGGGTAAGTGTTCACAAAGAACAACATTAACAACAGCATGACAACTGATATTTACTGTTTCTCCCACCTTAACTCTACATGTGAGCTGCCTCTCTAATTTCTCAGTCTTTGTTAAAGAGGACTGCTGGGTTTGTGACCAAGTTATTAGTGAGATAGTAGTGTGCACTGCCATCAAGGTGACATGGCAGGACATCAGGGAGAGCAGACAGGAGAAGATGGTGGGGAGAAGAAAGCAAAAAAGAGCCAAGACGTCTCAGGAGAGGCCTGCAGAAGATAATGTACCCTTCCTGTGTCCCTGAAATGCCATCCTCAAACTCAAGGGCAAAGAAGAAAATGGGGTAGAAAATGGAAAGAGAGAGAGATATTTGTGTGCAGGGCAAGGGGAACAACTTTGGAGGGGGAAGGAAAAGACAGGAGAGCAGATGCTTGAGGGATATAGGCATTTAAGGAGAGGGAACAAGGGGATATGGTGAGGCAGGATTTAAATTGATGAATCCAAGCAGGGGGAGGAAAAGAAATAGAAGCAGAATGGCAGATAGGAGCTGTTAACAGACAGAAAAGCACACATAACCAAAGAGAGAGTGGGAGTGGAGATGGTGTTAGCAGTGTTGTCTTGAGGGAAAGGAAGTCGGAGTGAAATGTGTTGAAAAGAAGCAAGAAAAGCTTTTGTTACTCAAACACTGAGACGTGTTTAAAAGATGTCCGAGAGACAATGAAGGAGAGCAACCAACTGCAGCTGCACTGCAGCTTGAGTCTTAAACTGTGCTTCTATTGCTGCAGCTGTGCAAGGTAAATATACAGATAGTTATTTTTCCACTGATTATAAGCCTTTGGCATATGGAATTTCTTAATGTGCCTTTGATGCGTTATCCCCTTTGAAGGAGACAAACATAAAAGGGGTGAGCAGAAAAAAGAATCATAGAAATATAGTTACTGCGATGCAATAATGCAGCTTTACTTCTACTGAAAAGTTTTGCCAGTGAAGAGAATTTGTTGTGACAGTATGGTTTAGGTTTGACCCATCAATAGCATGCATACTTTTTCAAGCAGACAAAGAGAAATGAAAACCATTTCTGCTACTAATCTCTCAGGCTATGTCCTTTTGTGTCTGACTTAGACTATAGGAGAAACAGCAATCTAAGTGAAGGATACTGTATGTGAATTGAAGCTATAAAGAATGTACAGCATGTCCATGACTGTGAAAGGATGAATCATACTTCTGTTTCTGCCTTTGCATGCTAATTGTGAAAAAAAAACACCCGCTGAAGAATACACTCCTTTTGAGTGTTGTACATTTTCATTCCACTCCAATAAAGTGAACTGTTCACAGCCCCATCCAATTAGTTGATTCAGTTAGATTGTTCTATGCACCACTGATTAATCTTCTGTTATTAAAGCACCTATTGACACTTGTGTTAATGTATTTGTAAGTGGTAGTTTCTGTAAAATAAATAATAATAATGATAAAATAACATAGAGATCTGAGGGTAATAAAAATCTCATCCCTCAGAGTCATATTTCACTGTTTCTTGCCCTACAATTTAGCAGATTATATAAAATGACAAGTCTTCATTGTCAAGTTATCATTAATATTACTAACTAGTCCATACCCATTGAGTGCACAGTTGCCCACTTACAGTTTCACATGGTGTGTGTTTGGGGTACATTGGGGTAGATTAAATAGTAGATTAAATAGTCAACTGAACCCATTAAGAAGAGCAATGTATTCAGACAGAGTTTTTGTGAATTTGATAGTACGATTGCTTACGCGCGTGCGCAGTAACTCGTGGGGTGAATGCATACAATTCAATTAAAAGTGAGTTTGTAAAAGAATATAGTAATAGTGTAATTTCTGGAAAAAGTAGCTTTGTCACCTGCCTATGCCAATCCTTAATGCCTATGTGCAGTTTCACATAGACTGACCACGTCAGTGAGTAGAAAAACGTGGGACAGACAGAATGACTGACTGACAGAATGACACACTGACAGTTTCCGTGATTATGTACAGCATACCATACCATGACTTAGTCATACCAAAAATTAGAAAACATTCAGCCACAGGGGGAGCCACAGCGATCGGTCGCATTTTAGCCATTTTTAAGCATTTTTCTGTTGTTATGGCGCCACCCAGTTGCCAATTAGAGTTAAATTTCTCCAGTCACCTTGAGGCGTCCT